GCGCCCCTCCAGGCCCCTCCCCGCAGGCCGGCGGGCCGAAGGTCCGGGTCCCCTCTCCCGTGTCCAGCATGGTGCCCCCAGACACAACACTCAGGCAAGTTCGACCTCGGAGGAAACACCAGCTTGCCGGGCGCCCTGGATTCCAGCCGTCAGTTCACTATCCGTGTGACCTTGGTCCAGTTAATTTCGAGGATCCATCAATTTTATAAAATGAGGCAGCATCTCGGAGCTGCCATTAGACTGTAAACTGCAACAGATTGAGGTACTATTTTTAAAAGGCTTGTGGATCTGGCTGGAAACCGATGGAGACAGGAAGGGACTGGGAGCGCAGAGAGGAGACACCAGCCAGTCCTGCCAGGCCACTGGGAAGGACAGCGGGGAAGGGGCTGCCCAGTCCTTCAGCTCCCACCTTTTCCCTTTTCTTTTCGCATTGTTTTGATTGGTACCGGTCAGAGGGGCAGCAAGGTAGGAAAGCTGGGGGACCTGTCAGAGGTGACTGTAGTGTGGACAGAAGACTGGCAAGCCATAGCAAGAGAGCCAAGAGGAGAGGGAGGGTGGAGCTTGCCAGGCCTGATTGCCAAAGCCCCTTCAAATCTCCAAGAGGCCGCAGATCAGGGAGCTGGTTCTGCAGCGCCACCTGGTGACCACAGGCAGGATGCGGCAGAAGGTGACCTGAGGCTCCGAAAGAAGTGCACCAACCATGGCCCTTGGTTTCAGCTGCTTTATTTCCAACATATTCCCGACCCAGTGGCCCTCCAAAGTCCAGCGGTAGAGAGGTGAAAAACGGTAGAACCAACCTGTGCCTCCACCCCTCCATAACTTAACCACAGAGTGGCTAAACCACAGTGGTAAGGGCAACCTTCTTGCAGAAGGCAGTACTGGGAGGTTCCCAGAAGAGTGGCAGCCAAGCCCCCAGGCCAGGGCAGGCACACCATAGCTGGGATCGAGTCCAGCTCAGACGGACCCAGGCCTCCTTCCCTGACAGGGCTGGGATCCAGGCTCAGCGCCCGAGCAGCTGCAGCATCTCCTGAGAATCCACCAGCTTCTCCCGAGGCTTTCTAGCACCCTGGCCCCGAGACACTTCCTCAGCATCCAGCTTCTCCCAGTCTGAGAAAGAGACTGGCCGGATCCCTGAAGCAGAGGGTAGACACGTCAGCACTGCCACCTTCTCCTTCATCCCCCTTCCCAGTACCATCCCCCAACTCCCGAATGTGGCACCTCAGAGAGAAGCTACGCATCCCACCTCCCAGAACCTCAGCCTCAGGGCCCAGACCTCGGCTGCTGAGCAGGGCTTGAATGGCCGCATAGCCAGGCTTGGGCCCAAAGGGCAGCAGCCCGGCCTTCAGGTCCTGCAGCAGCACCTCGCTGGTGAGGAAGCTGTCAGTCATGGTGGTAGCAATGACACCTGTGGGTCCCCTCTTCACCCAGCCACTGCAGTAGAGGCCTGAGGGGGCAACAAAGAGAGGAAAGGTGACTGCATTCGGCCAGGCCAGCCTGTGCCCATCTGTGCATCCGTGCAAACATACACTCCCGTCTCACAGCTGTCCCACATTCTTCCCACCCTGTTTTACCACGGTGTCTCCACTTGTATCTTGACCTCACCCCACCTCAAATTCAACAGCCCCTTAGCAAAATCTACTGAGTGCATGAACAGGCACCTGGGTACTTAATCAGACTGGAAGCTCCCTAGGACAGGGGCTGCCTTATCTCCAACCCCAGCACTGAGCGAAAGAGCTAGCCCAGAGCTGGCCTTGGTAAATGCTTACTGAGTGACTTAGTGATTAAACATATGTCCTATATTTTCCAGCTAGCCTGGGGACTCTCCCCAGGGCCAGAAGGAAGGTGGGCTGGGTCCTGGGACTGGGCCTGCCTAGAGGACCTGCTCAGTGTATGTCACTAGAGGAAAGGATAGAAGAATGGCCCCGGGAACACCAGCTTTCCAGCCTCCCACCATAACTGGATGTCCAGCTTTGTCATACCCTCTCACCTGGCACACCCACAACCCGGCCTTCTGTATTGGGGATGACCCCGAGTTTGGGGTCAAAGGGCACACTGGGGTCAATGGGACGGCTTTTATACCCAACACTGCTCAGCACCAGCCCACAAAGAAGGTCCTCCGTCTCTCCTGTGGGCACTGCCCGGGTGGCCTCACCGACACCCTATTGGGGAGAGCAAGGGTAACACCAGGCTGGGTGGGAGAGGCCTGAGGATGGGGTGTCTTAGGATAACATGAGACTCACCTCCAGTCTGGTAAGTGCCAGGCGGATGCCTGCTGCCCGCTGCCCATCTGGCGAGGGCAGCACCTGCTGGGGGCTTCGGAAAAAGCGGAGGCCCCAGGCACGGGGGGCAGAAGCCTGGCGAGCAGCCTCCTCCGCCCCCAGCTTCTCTGTGGCCGTGCGGTGCAGCAGTTCCGTCAGCCGCTTCCTTGGACGGGGGACCTCTGTCAGCAACACAGAACATCTCAGGCTGCGCCTGCCCCACAAACCCTCCTCCAAGCCTTCTGTGACCTAGGTCAGCCCCTCCCTGTGAGCCGGGGGCCTGGCCAGGGCACCTTACCCTTGATTCTGTCCTGGAGGCCCAAGAAATCTGCAGGATCCAAAATGGTTCGGGTTCCTGGTAACTGGATCATCTCCCGAAGCTCCTTGTGATGGAGTGGGGTAGAGGGAGTGGGAAGATCAGGCCCTGAACACCGTCCACCCGAGCCCGCCAGAGTCCAGCCTGGTGAAGACACTGACATGGAAGGCACAGGGCCCTGGGGCCTGCTCCCCCTTCCATCCCAGCAGAAGCTCCTCTAAGAGGCTCTGCCTCCTCCACGGGTCATCCTCCCCTTGGGACACCTCCCACCCACCGCCACCCCAGTACCTTAATGGTAAAGGCCACTTGCAGGGGCCCGCGCCTGCCCACTATCCACACCGTCTTCACCTGACTCTGCCTCAGCACCCCTAATGCAACCTCTGTGATGTCTGTTTTCTGGTAGAAAAGGAAGTCTTTGAAATCATGGAACATGGACATGAGGACTCTATTTAGTGGCATCCCTACCCTGAGCTAGAAGGCTGGCAGCCCGAAACTCTACTACTGCCGCCCCACAGGGTTAGACAGGGCACTGCTGTCTACGCCAAGGGATCCGAGCAGCAAAATGGGCCCTGCCTCTTGAGTATTTACTGAGCATCTACCATGTGCCTGGCCTCACAAGGCTTCTTATCAGTGTGGAGGGTTATTCATCAGATCTCATTAACGAGTAAAATTTCAGGGGTGTAACCTGCTATTCGTGAAATAGAAGGAGACGGGTCTGTTAGATAAAGGTACTACAGGGGAAATGAACCTATTCAGGGCATCCCTACAAGGCTTCCTGACAGAAGGAATAATTGAGCCAACTTTTTTTTTTTTTCCTTGGTACCAGGGATTGAACTGACCGAACCGCTGAGCTAAATCCCCGGCCCAATTGAGCCAACTTTAAATGGCAGTAGTCAAATGAAACTGTTCCAAGCAGAGGGAATGGTGTGTACAAAGACCCCCGTGGTACAATGAGGTTTAAAAAAAGGCCCATGCAGCTGTTGTGCCCAAGTAAAGGGAGACATAGTGTGGGTTAAGGCTCACACAGCTACTTTCTAGAAGGCCTCCGCCTGACCCAGCACCCTTGGGAAACAGGCACTGAGTTCCCCACCTCCAGCTCCTGACCTACCACTCACCTCCAGGTGCTCAGGTGGGGTCAGGAGGATCCGGGCCACATCCAGAGCCACGTTCCCCTGTCCCAGAATCACGGCAGTGTCACAGCTCAGGTCCGGTGCCAGCTAGAGGGGAAAGGCCTCGATAGACCCCCAGCTAGTCTCCCATCAGCTTGATCTTCTCCGCAAATATCCTGTGCCCAGTCCCAGCTGTCCCCTCACTGGTCAAGTCACCCTCCCCGAGCCATCTGTCCCCGCCCACCCAGCCCCAGCCCAGAGACCTTCCATGGTTGACCGCCAGCCTCAGGTGGCCTAGCATCCATCTCTTCCTCTTGCTCCTTGCTACCTCTTCTGCCCTCTCTGGCATCCAGAGCTGGTCCTGGCCCTGGCAGAGGAGTTGGCAGGAAGGGGCAGCAGGAGTGCTCCCCAAACTCACCGCTTGATTCTCAGGAAGGCCATTGTACCAGCCCACAAAGGCCCGGGCTGAGCACACGCCAGGGAGCTCCTCACCAGGGATCCCCAGGGCCTGATGGTCCTCCGCCCCATAGCTCTGAGGAAAGCAGGAGACCACAGCCTTAGCACCTGGCAAGGGAACTGGTTCCCAGCGTCCCCTCCAGCAACTTCCATCATCTGTGCTCACCAGCACCACGGCATGGTACGCCCCCCGCAGCTCAGATACCGTCACATCCCTGCCCACCGCCACGTTGCCCAGGAAGGCACAGCGCTCAGAGCGAGCCGTCTGGGTAAATGTGTGGATGACATTCTGCAGGGCAGCCCCAGAGAACAAGGGGTTAGAGAGCAGGAGGTCCAGGGCCACGTCAGTGCCACTCTCACCCCTTATCCCACAGTGTCCCCAGGGTCATTCTACCCAGCCAGGGAGCCCCCCTACCCTCATTTGGACCAATGGCCCCAAACAGCACCCTCCATGCCCAGAGACCTACCTTCACCTCAGGGTGGTCAGGCGCCACCCCAAAGCGCACTAGGCCGAAGGGCACGAGCTGCTTCTCATAGATGTCCACTTGGGCCCGGGTGTGGTGCTAGGGGAGAGGGCACAGCTGGTAGGGTCCTGCCTTCCCAGACAGAGCAGTGGGCCGGGAACACAGAAGCCTCAAGTGTCTTTGAGGACAGAGCGCCTCTCGACTGACTCCCCCTCTGCCCAGAGAGCCAGATACGGCCCAGGAGGAGCTGAGGTCAGGCCTCAAGAAGACTACGAGTTATGAGAATGCGAGAAATCCGGCCAGGGAAAGAGGAGCACAGTTCCCCTCCCCTGGACCTGGGTTTTAGGGGAGCTTCATCTACTCAGGTTAGATGAGACCCACTGCCCTGCCCCCCCACCCATCCACATTTTCTAGAAAGGCCCAGCTACACCGATCTTATCTCCAAGATCATCCCATTGTAACAGGGTCCAGCAAGATAGGGAAGGAGGGTAGAGGGAGGTGGCAATGGGCCTATTCCTAGTCTTAGGAAAACTCTCTCATTTTCTTGCTTTAAAATCCTTCCTTGCTGCAGGACAAAGTTCGAACTGCTCAGCAGGTGGTCAGTTCCTAACACAACCCAACCCTGTGGTCTTTGTCTTTCAGTCTTTCCATACGTGCCCTTTACTCCAGGTCACAAGGCTCCCTCAACATAACACCCTTTAGTCCACGAACTGACCTCTTGTCCCTCACCTCCTTCCTTAACCTCCACGTATTCCTTCTCAGGCCTTTTTATCTCAATTCCCTAGATCTGTCTCTGACTCTGTGTCTGTCTCTCTTCCTCCCTCCCTTCCTCCTTCCTCGCATTCTTCCTATCCACACCGCTCCCCAAGCTCCAAACCTGAGACCCCACGACATCCTCACCCAGACACCACTAATGCATCCAGATAAAACTAAGGCCTTATCCCCCAAACCTCTCCCCTTCTGCTCCTACACTCCCTTCCACCCATCCCACTCAGAACCCAAGCCAGAACCTGGGGCTGCTTGCTTACCCATCTCTGGCCTGCCCCATCAAATGAACATCTTACCCCTGCCTTCCTCACCGCACTCCAGGCCAGCAGCCCTGCCTGTGTTTACCCTGCAGACAGAACATTCTAAATTTTAAAAATGGGGTCCCTGGCTAGAGGGTAGCTCAGTGGTAGAGCACTTGCCTAGTGTGTGCAAGGTCCTGGGTTCCAGCCCCAGCGCTGAAAAAAGATGAGGAGTACCTGGAGTCTGGTCTAAAACTCTTCAATAAAGCCACCAGAATCTCCTAGGGGACTGGTTTAAAGTTGCCCATTCCGGGACCTATCACAGAGTTTGATTAAGTGGACTGGGCCCAGAAATGTTTTGTTTGTTTGTTTGTTTTGTTTTTTGGTACCAGGGATTGAACTCAGGTCCTTGCGCTTGCAAGGCAGGCAGTGGAACCACTGAGCTAAATCCCCAACCCTTGTTTGGGTTTTTTTGAGACAGGGTCTCACTAAGTTACCCAGGCTGGCCTTGAATTGAACTTTTGATCCTCCAGCCTGACTCCCAAGTAACTGGGCTTACACGTCTCCCAGGGGACTCTGATGGGAGGAGAGGGGAGGTGACATCCTGAGAAAGTCACCCAAGTCCACAGCCTGGTCAGTGGCTCCCAAGCCCCCCAGATCTGGATCACACCTCTCCCCAGCCTAGCTTTCTCTCTCCACCTCCTGCACACACCTTTCTTCTGGAATTTGCCCCTTCCTTGGAGGGCCACTCTCTTCCTTCTCCAGCCTCTGTCCATTGGTTCTCTGTGCCTGAGACACCCCTGCCATTCCCATCCCACTGACCTGACATCTCCACCATCCTTCAAACTGCAAATGCTCTCCCTGTGGCTTACGCATCCCTCTCTGCACCCCTAGGACGAGTCTTAAGCTACCTTGTAAACCGATAATCTCCCCCTCACACTGGAATATGAGGTCCTTAAGCACAGGGGCCACACCTGTCCTCCTCACCCCCATGTTCCTAGTGCAGCCTGTGCCTGGAACACATAGGTGTCCAGTGAGTGGCCACTGAACGATGATGACAAATGGCCAGGCCAGATCCTAGTGCCTTCTGTGCACAGTGGTAAGACCTCAGCCAGCCTCCCGCCCTCCATGTCCTCACCTATGTGCGTCATGACACCGCCTCACAGTTTGACATGAAGATGCTACGAGATGGTGTTCAGTGCCTGACTCAACCTAAATGGCTCTTCCCCAAATGTGCCCAGAGCTTCGAGCTCCCAGTGGGCAAAGGTCAACTCATAACAGGCCTCTGAGTCCACGTCCCTCCCAGCCCAGCCTGCACGGAAAGCACACACGTGACAACAGCCCAGAGGCTTGGCTTGCCTGCAGAGGAACACTAAGAACCCTGCCTGGAAGGCCTGCTCTCCCCCTCCCAAAACACAGGGCCTTCCAGGCCTCCATCCCAGAGCCCAGGATGTACTTCTATGTCTGCGGCCTTGCATTTAGCCTGACTCCCAATGTAAGAGGGGCCCTTGCCAAACCTGTGGCCTTCAGTGCAGCTCAAATGCACTTTCTCCAGAAAACAGCTTCTGATTCATCTCCACCTGACTCAACTCACTCTACTTGCATCATTATACTTAGCTCTGTTCTGTGTTGTTTGGGAGGCACACGTTTGTCACCTTTCAACACTGGCCAAGCCATCCCTGCCTCCAGGAGACCTTCCTAGATGCAGTACTAAAAGCTCCATGACCCAGGTAAACCAGGACAGTGGGTTATGCCATCCTTCGAGTACCTCTGTGTATGTATAATTAATATATTCATTCATTCTCCTGTCTCAACATAGACATTGCAAGCTCTTCCAAAGCAAGGCCATTGTCTCATCTCTGTCAACCTAGGTCTCCTCTCCCCTCTCCTTCTCAAGGTCTGGGTATATCTGGCAGCCTTGAATCCCTGCCTATCTGCCTGCCAAAGCCAAAACTGAAAGCTTGGAGACCTTGGCCCTTAATGAGGGTAAAGGGGGAGGTTGTGGTAGCTGTGGGTGAAGAGGACACAGGAGCTGGGTAAAGTTACAGAAAGCTAGGAGAGGGCTAGCCTCAAGGTGTAGGATGTTGGGGACAGAGGAGAAACAAGGGTTAATAAGGGGAGGGCAAAGTCATCCTGCAGGTCTGCCTGGACTGTTTGGCCAAGAAGGTATAGCCGCCCTTCTGCCACTGACCACACACTCGGTGCCCTGGTGTAGGCAGGAAGTACACAGCTAGATGGGATGGGCATCATTTCCTCATCAGGCAACCCAGAGAGCACGAGGCTTTCCCTTAGGACTGGAGCGACGGGTGAATGAGAGGGGAGGAGGCTAGAGGAAGTGGCTTACCTTTAGCAAGTGTTGGGCTGTGTAGAAGCCAGCGGGGCCGCTGCCCACCACACAGATCTGGGGGGTGGTCTGAGTGGAGAACCGCTGACAGAAGGCTGGGGCTGGGCAGAGGAGGGGAGCAAGGTCAAATCAACAACCTCTCCCCAATCCCAAACCAACTTCAGCATCCAACAGGAGACGGAGCTCACCAAGCTTCACCCCACCTGTACCTTCCTTCTCTTGCTCCTCAAAGCTTACTTCACCCAACCCCGTAAAGGCTTGCTCTTCATCCAGAGCTGGACCCTTCATCCATGAGCTCACTACACTGCTGCTGAAGGCCTGCCCACCAGCCCCATCGCCCTCCAAAGCATATCTTTTATTTCTTTATGGGGTTCCCTGTTCTATTAGCTCTTATTCCACATCTTCCCACAGGCTGCCTATCAACCCAACCCCACCCCTGTGGATCTCCCCCCAACACCCCGTTTCACGCCAGATGTCCCTATTGTCCCTAGTATGTTGTCCCATTCACCCATCTCACACATGGACATAATGGTCTCTTTCCATCTCCTGTCTCAGCCTAGGGGCCTCAACCTCACCGCACAGGTCCCCACCCGTCCCCCACACCACCCCCAACTCGTCCTCATGAATACTGCACACCCTCCCACGTTTGCCCCTCTCCAGCCCAGCCCCAGCTCCGCTCTGACTCCCTCCACTTGGCGCTCGCAGGCCTCCCAGCCAGTCCGAAAGACCCTCTCCTACTCAGCGTGTTTCTAGCGGGAGGAGGCCGTGCCCGAGGCCACTTCAACCACGGCCCCCAATGCAAACAGCGCGTAGCCATGTCTGGGAACAGCAATCAACAAGCGATCCTGAAACTATCCCGAGTGGGAGCTCAGCTCGGCCCCGCCCCTGCCCGGCTTCTGGACCCGCCTACCTCCGTAGTCCCGCCTCCAAGCCACGCCCCTCGGGCTGGGAAAGCGGCGTGTTGCGGCTCGATCCCGGCCTTGAAGGAGTCCCGCCCCCAAAAGGCCCGCTTTTGGGATCACCCCGTATTGCCGAAGCCCCGCCTCCCCAAATTTCCGGGTCCTTTAAGAATAAATTGCTCCCATCTTCACCCTCCCTCCAAGTACCGGAAGACTAGAGTTGGAGGAGAGCGAATCTCCGTCGCTGTTGCAGTCGCTCGCAAAGAAGGGAGCCAATTAGAAAGGAGCTTATTTTACCTGGCTTCTCGGGGCTCCCGTCGCTTACTAATGACAAAATATTTCTTTACCTTTTTTTAGCCTATCCTACTGCCTGCCTGGTTTAATTCCAGCCAATCAGAAGTCAATTTCCATGGGGCCCTCCCTGTTTACCCAGGAGACGGAAATCTGGAGAAAGCTCTGTGCGGACACTTCCTCGGTAAGTGCTCCAACCTCCGGGGCTGTGTTGGTGTGGCCCCGGCGAGATGCTGTCTGTGTCGGGCCAGGGAGAATATTGTACACTGGAAATCCTATCCAGCCTCACCCTCTTCCCCATTATAGTTGAGGAAACGGAGGAAATGAATTGCCCAGGTACTAAGAACAGAGCTCTACCCCCAACCCTTGTCCGGGACAAGACATTCGCCTCGGGTACAGAATTTAGGGGTCACCAAAAATTCAGTAACCAAGAAAAATAACATAAAAAATAAACATAATATATATTTTAGTGGATCTGTCTGAAAAGATTAAAATGCCAAAAATTTATGAGCAAAAAATTAATAGTAAGTACAGGATTCATGCTCACCTCTGATATAATACACCTCTCATATAATGCCTCTTCCCTTTCCCCAGGTGTCTTGTCACATATTTAATCCCTTAGAGAAACCTCTAATTCATCCCCTTTCAAGCTCTAAGGAGTTAGGGGCCTGTCATCCCCACAGCACCCAACCTTACTTCGTTATTGTATCAAAGGACAAAATCACAACAATTTAGCTTTTTTTCCCCTCCAGTACAGGGGATCCAACTCAGGACCTTGTGCTTACAAGGCAGGTGCGGTGCCACTGAGCTAAATCCCTAGTCCTAGCTGATTTTAAATTAGCTTTTTGGGAGGAGGATTGAACTCAGGGCCTTACACATACTAATCACTCAGTCTTAACACTTAACCCTCAGCCCTTGGCTTTGTTTTTGATTTTAGACTTGGACAACACCATTCTGTAAAATAGAACAAGTGTTCTGATGGTTGGTCTAAGTGAGGAAGGTTGGTTTTATAGACAAGGGCTTGAAAGGGAAAACAACAGAAAGCAAATTGAGATTTCTTGTGAGGGGGGATAGAGGGGACACAACAGAACAGTAGGAAAATCACTGATGAGGTAACATCAGATTATCTCAGGTTATTTCTTTTGTGTAAGGATTAAAGCAGAGAGAATGTTATTATCATGACGATTGAAACTAGCCTGAGTAGGAAATTGGCTGATTTCTCAGAATGTCCGATAAACAACTTAGTTTCAGCTTGGTGAATGTCAAGGTGAGTAACTCTGTTTTAACTTTTATCCTGGTCTATTGAGGCCAAGTGCAGTTTAGTCCAAAACATTGGCCCCTGTACTGTCTAACATTTGTTATTCCCCTTGTCATTAAAACTTTTTTATTTAAAAATTTTTATTAGTATATGTTTGCAATATGTAATGATTACATCCATCATGAGTTGGCACATGTACATAACACATCTTAATTACTCGTCATTTTTAGTGGTTTTTAAAAGTGAGGTGTAACATACAAAAGGTTCACAAATCATAATAGACAGCTGATGAGATGTGATCATATAATCACCCAGACTGAGAAACAGGACAGCCCCAGTATCCCAAGAGTCCCCTGTACCTTACTAGTCACTCTTCCCTCCTAGTGAGAAGTAAATACTGTTCTGCTGTCTAATATCCCCTTGTGTTTCATGCCTGTGCTACAGAACCAGGAATAGGCAAAGGATGGCTTGCAAGACAAATGCTGCCCATGGGCTTATTTTGTACAACCTGTAAGACTATTTTTAATGACAAAAATAATTTTAAGTATGTTGTGACATAAGTAGGGCATAATAGGACACACCTGTTACTACAGGCAGCTAAGTTAGAAATCAGTACACAGGCAGAGAGGGACTGAGCTCTCAAGGAAGTCAGCAAAAAAATAAAGACATAAGAATTGTGACTGGTGGCAAATATGAAGAAGGCCAGGCTCAAAATAAAGATATAGTGGCCATTCCTGCATGCCTCCCTAAGGGATAAACAACTTGAGATTATATTGTGATTAGCACCACCAGTCCAGTAAGCCAGATAGCCACCTGTACCCCAGGTGGGTGACCAGGACATCTGGACTCATTCCTTCCCAAAAATGTTTGTGTTCTTTCCGTGTATCCTTGCCATGTGACTCATTTCCCTGTTGGATCAATACTAGCTAAGTGGCTATACTTGTAACCCTATAGGTTGACTGTAGTTGAATTCACATTGTACCCACATTGTGACTTTGCTGTATAAATTATCCCTTCAAAGGGTCTCAGAGGCCAACCCATTTGGGACTCCTAGAAATCCAGGAGCTATTCTCTTATTGCCACTACAGCTCTCCTAAGTTTGTTTCATTCACAACTTCATTTCTTCAAGTTACCACGAACTCGGCACTTTTGACATCTAACTGGTTGGGAGTAACATTTCTCCTTTATCAATCCCAGCACTTGGGAGGCTGAGGCAGGAGTATCGCCATGAGTTTGAGGCCAGCCTGTACTACATAGTGAGACCCTGTCTCAAAAAAACAAACAAACAAAAATTTAGATAAAGTAGGTAAAAATACCTGCCATTTGTGGTAAATGAATGTTAGCCATCATCATCAATATTGTCAACTCCATATAACTTTAAATTAGACTTTACATCTCTGCAGAGGCTTAAAACACTTTATTCATTTCAGTCACCTTACCTCAAGCCCTGGGTAGTTCTAGTAACAGAAAATTGAACTTTACAGAGACCAAGTTGATTTGTTTCTGGGGTGCCTGTGCTACACCAGGTTTGGCTACAGGGCCCCCAGCTGCTGCCCGTACCCCCAGATCAATAACAATGAGTCATCAATTGTGTATTTGGATGGTTTTAATCATCAGCCTGGAATATTCACAGAGCCTTTTTCTGACATTACATTTTTCATATGGAGAATTAGCAGTTTGATGAATTACACTCCCAGACCATAAGACCATTTCTGAGCTGCTAATGCATTTCAAAAGAGAAACAATAACACATAGCAGAGCAGTAGGCTGGGGAAGCTGCCATAGCCCTGTTCCAAGAGGGCTGCTTGGATCCAAAACTCTGCTCTTATTGGTGAGCCTCGCAGCAGGGAACTCAGGCATACTCCAAAGGGGTGACTGAGGAGAGTTTCATGAAAGGCCTTTGTGCAGAGGTGTGAGCAGGATTATGGGAAGAAAGAAGCATTCTGGGTCCAGCAACAGCTCAGAGCCACTGCCAGGCTGGGCCCCAAAGGAGCCCAAAGAGGGAGTTATTAGGAACTCATAAGAACCACAGCTGGAAGAGAGCATGCCTGAGGGGGGTGTGGTTTCTGCTAGACGGCAGGGCAAAGATGGTTGGGGAAGACCTGCAGGGACCGGCAGGGCCGGCCCCAGCAGAACTGCTCAGGGCCACACTGGACACAGAAGGGCTTCTGATGCTCTGGGCTCAGGATGCCTTCACTGTCTTCTGGCTACTTCTTGTCCACCTCCTTCACCCATTTCAAGGGCTCCCGTTTGCTGGCATTTAGCTTCCCTTCATCAAGGTCATTGTGCCCTTTACGGTATCCATGGCCTTAACTGAAAAGCCAGGCAACAATGGGCCCCCCAAAATGACTTGTATGTTCTCAACCAGGGATGATTTTTGACCCCCCCCCAGGGACATCGACCTATGTCTGGGGACATTTTTGATTGTCATAACTTGGACTCCTAGCATCTATCTAGTAGATAGAAGCCAGGAGCATGGCTAAACATCCTGTGCTGCACAAGACAGCAACAAAAGGTTATCCAGATAAAGTACCAATAGTGACAGGTGAGAAATCCGATCATAACTCCTCTGGCCTCCTATCCCAGGCTTTGCCTCCTCCTCTGCCCCTTCCTTAGCCTTCACCTAGGAACTTCCTTGCACTCTCAGTCCCAGCCTTTCAACTCTGCCTACCTTGGGCTCTATCTCTGGTGCCCCCACACCTTGGCATCAGTAGCTCCCTTATATCCCCACCTCACACCCAGGCTATGGACTTGCACTGCCAAGTTGCCCTTGACTTCAAGCTTTTCTTTCTCTCTTTTTTTTGGCACCGGGGATCAAACTTGGGTCCTTGCACTTGCAAGGCAGGTGGCAGAACCATTGAGCCAAATCCCTGGCCCTTTTCTTTCTCTTAAATTAATCTGTGCTGCAGACCTGGTTCCCATAACCCTCTCCAACCCCAGCTACTGCCCAGTAATTTTCTCTCTCTGGTTCACTGCTTCTGAATAACATGGAACAAAGCACTTTTCTAGAACTAGCCAAGGTCAAGCTGAAAGCTATGTATACTCTTTCCCCAGCTCTGTCCCTGAAGTATTATCTCCTTTTACTTCCATACTTTTATCTCGCTGAGACCATGGGCCTTAGAAAGTTGCTCTGGCTGAGGAACTTGGGCGGTCTGCCAAAGGTGACTGGTCCTGTGTACCTGGGGAGAGGGATGTTGGGGGACAGGGCCTCAAACAGTGCAGAAGCAACAGTGGCCAAGCCAGTGTGCCATTCTCCAGGCACTAGGAAGGCCCCAGCTCGAGGGGCTGACACTCCTGTGTGTGCCTCCTCCCATCTCCCAGGTGGCCGGGGCACAAACAAGATGCTGCCTCACCTTCTGTCACCCACCTCCAACCCTCCACGGGCTCAGATGGGCAGGGATAGGGACTCCAAGATGGAGCCATGTTGCTCAGCCACCATATTCCCTTCCCCCAGGCACTCCCTGAATCCCAGAAGAGCAAACAGCACAAGCTGGCCCTTCTCACTGCCAGTCCAAGGCCTCTGTGCTCCAGGTCCATGACCCTCCACTGCATCACACCCCTGGGGCCAGGAGCAGCAGCAGAGCCAGGGCTGGGCCAGGACTGGAGCCTGGCCCTCACTGCAGCCCCACCAGCTCCGTGATCGGCGGGGCCTGCACCATGAACTCCTCATAGCGATCGAAGAACAGCCAGAAGCGAGCCAGGTATGAGTCCTCATTGTATGGCAGCTGCTTCTCGTGGAGGAACTTGGACACCACGGGCTTCACCTGATGAGTGGGAGGAGAAGCCCGTGAGCCACACCCATCCAGGTGGTGGTAGGGAATCATCTTCCCAGCCCCAGTTCCTATCTGCTTTGTCCCAAGATGCTGCGGTGGGCCGAGGGGCTGAGGTACTGAGGAACTCCAGCCTCCCCCACCCCTACTGCAGGCAGGCAAACCAGGGGCTCCCCCCACCCCTACACCCCCAAGGCTTCCTGCTGCATGACAGCTCCTTTGGCACTGAGGAATGAAAAGCACAGCTCCCTTTGCCAAGCAGCTACTTCCTGTAGCTTTAGATCTACGTGTGTCTTTTTGTCCTCAAGGTAAGCACCATTGCCTCCGATTTTGCAGACAGGAAAGCGGAGGCTCAGTAAACTTGTCCAGAGTCTCACAACTAGTAAGAACCCCAGGTGTCTGATCTGAAACCCACGCTGCTCCAAGCTGCTCTCCTGGGTGACCTCTAACCAGGCCGGTGCTGGGGAGCTTGGAGTTCTCACTGTCCTCCCTCCAGCCCAGTCCTTAGTTACCTTCAGGCACATGTTGTCCGAGAGTGTGGGGAAGAGGTGGTGCTCCACATGGCAGCTGATGAGTGAGTGGCCGAATGCCCAGTCCAGCACCGGCAGCCGGGGCAGGTTAAGCACACCCAGGCTCATCATGTGAATCCGCCGGGGCTTCTTGTCGGGGGAGAACATGGGGAGCCCAATGTGCTGTGACAGACACATGGGTCACACTGGGGGCCAGGCAGCCCCAGACCTCCTCACCAGGTAAGGACCCAGTAGCTTTTTTGGCCTCCAAAGCCAACTCCAGCAGGACCTGGTAGAGGGCTAAGGGACTGGGGCTCCTGGTCTATCTCAGATGCCAACCCAGTCTGTGTCCTGAGCTGAGTCTCGCCCATCTCTGGGTCTCTTTCCCCATCTGGATGGACAGTGGGGGATTTGGCCTGGGCACCCCTTGGACTTTTGATACTCAAGTGCCTGTGATTACTTCCATTTACTCTCATGCTGTGCCTTGGCCTCATCCTGGAAGGACCCTCCCTGCTTTCCTATCACTCAAAACCTTACTCATCACTGCAGATCAAGTCTGGGCAACCTCTGGTACTTTTTCACTCAACCAGTAAATCCAGGTGCCTCTGCCAGGCACAGTCCTGGCTCTAGGGGAGCTGGAGGTGAACAGGAACTTCCATCCAAGCAGGACAAGCAGACGGTACAATTACGAGATTAAGTGATGAACAGCATTTGTGCTGAGTGCCAAGCTGGTGAACAGGGAGCCCTAACCTGGCATGCTCACTGTCCAGGGAGCAGGGGCCATCCCTGTGGCAACAGCACTGGAACTGGACGTGAGCCCCTGACCTCACTCAGAGTCAGTCCCCTGCCTCAATTCCCAGCTGCTTCCTCTGCCTGGCCCATGGCACCGGCTGGGCCCTCTCTTCACTTGGACATCCACACACAGATGAAAGCACACTAGGCTGTCGCTGAGAAGCCAAGGCTTCACCTGCAAACCAAGCTCTCCATAATGACTCCCAGAGAGATGGCATGGCCAAGAAGGAGGGGTGCCCTCTCTCCCACAGAGCCTGGGGTCCAGCCTGCAGTCAGGCATCCCGGAGAATGCTCCCGTTAGCTGCCCAGTGCCAGGTGAGAGGCCTCACCTGGAAGATGTTGACGTGGATGTAGGGGTGGGCCAGCAGAGACCTGGTGAGCAGCATGCAGGCCAGGGCTGAGCTGGGGCTCCTGAAGCCTGACACGTTGAGGAGCAGCCAGTAGTGGGAATAGAGGCCCAGGGAAATCAGGCCCAGTGTCTGCAGGGCTGACCTCAGCTCCACCTTCCTCAGATGCTCTGCCAGGGAAAGAAGACTCAGAGTGAGGGGCAGGAGGGTCTGCAGCCATCATGAACTGGCTCCCTGATGGCCAAGGGTGCTAAGGTTGAGGGTGGTCTGAGAGTGTTCAGTGAATCCACACAACATCCCTGAAAAGTGTGTTCAGCCATTGTATGAATGAGGAAACAGAGCTATTAAGCAACCTGAACAAGGTCAAGACCTGTCCTACACCCTTGCTCCTTCCTCCTCCCACGATGTCAACAGTTACAAGACGCAGTGTGATTTCTGTGAGGCATCTACTAAGCCAGTGGCAGCAAACCTTATGGCACATGTGCCACAGAGGGCTGTGCATTATCACTGCAAGTTCTAAAAGGTTCGCCATCACTGTACTAAGCATTCTTTTTTTTTTTTTTTTTTTTTTTTTTTGTGGTGGGGATTGAACTCAGGTCCTTGAGCCTATGAGGCAGGTGGCAGAACCACTGAGCTAAATCCTGGGCCCCTTTTTTAAATTTATTTATTTATTTAGCTTTTGGTACCAGGGATCAAACTCAGAACCTTGTACTTCCAAGGCAGGCACAGTGCCTCTAAGCTGAATCCCTGGCCCTGCCCTCTTAAGTCTGTGCCCTCCTTATGCGTTCACACCATCCTGGAGCAGCAGGTGAAGAACCGGAGGCTCACAGAGGTCAAGTTACCAGCATACAGTCACCAGCCAATAAATGGCACAGCCAGACTTAGACCAGGTCTGGGTCTCTTTCCACCCCACCTGACCATGTGAGAAAGTCTCTGTTAGCCTTAGCCCTGGGCTTCTGGCTTCCCCACAAATGGCTTCCATGAAGGTATGAGAAGAAAGGAGGGGCTGGGAGCAGGTTTTTGCAGGGTCCTCAGACTCGGGCGGTTGCAGTACTTACCAAGAGCCACCAGAGGGGTTAGAATGGGGATTAAGAAGGGTGCAAAGAACATGTAGATGTAGCGGTTGAGGCAAGGCAGCTTCCATGTGCTGGAGTCCCCCAGCCCCACCACATTAGTGTAGCCGTGGTGCATCTTGACGTGGCCATACTTGGCAAACTCTGCAGGGAAGGCTGTGCATACCTGGAGGAGCAGAGAGGACACCGGGTCCAGGTCAGGCACAGTCGAGGGCAGCAGGATCTGGGGAAACCTCAAGAACAAGCCACTCTCCTTGAATCCTGCAATTCCAGCTTTCCTGCCCTGCACAGTCATCTCTCAGGCACCTGTGACCCCAGAGAGGCAGCCAGACGAACGACTGTATCCACTTGGCATGGTTCCGCAAAGCACTTGAGGACAGGGAGGTCAGACCCCAAATTGTCCCTCTGTCGCTGGCCACCACCCAGTCAACCTCTCAAGTCTCTGAAGCTACTGTTGCAATAATGCCGTCAGCCCTTGCAGTTACTGTGTGTCCTGGAAACCCCTGCACCTTCCTAACACTGCTTTGCCTACTGAACCCAGAACAGCAAGGAAAGGAGTACAGATCAGTAGATCTAGGGATCAGTAGAGACCATCTCCCATCACAGTGTGGGTGCCCACTCGTGGGGGCTGAGTTAATTTCTCCCAGAGGTGACTCTTCTGGCACAGGGCCTTGATGGGATTCTCTGAAGCTGCTCAGGAGGAACTGCTCGGGCTCCTAGAACAGTCATTCTGAATGCAAGCGAGGCACCATGGTGTTTCTTATGCAGATATATGCAAATGAGCATGCCTGTGTGAGCCTCTTCAAACATTTTATCAAGGCCAGCAGACTTTCATAATCTTACTGAAGATGCTGCCTGATCCCAGGGGAAAGTGAAAGATTTCCCAGCACCAGTCTTTGGGTGTCATGGGGAAGTTTAATTGTCAACTTGATTGGTCTGGGGGCTGCCTAGGGGACTAGAAAGGCACACTTGGGGTGTGTCTAGGTGCTTCTCGGAGGAGTGACCATGGGGTCTGTATCTCCTCCTTTGCCCCTTCCTCTCTGCTTGTCTTCCCCTGCTCTGCTTCCTGGATGCCTTGAACTAAGCAGCTTTGTTATGCCACACCCTTCCACATGATGTACCCCCCTTGGAGCCAGCCAACCGTAGAATGAATTCCCTGAAACCGTGAGCAAAAACACACCGTTCCACCTCTGAGTTGTGAGTGTCAGGTATTTGGTCCCAGCAGCAGTAAAGCTGACGGATACCCTGGGAGCTAGGAAGACACAGCAGGACTCCTTCTCTGAGTGCTCAGTAGGTACCAGGCTCAGAGGTGAGCACTTTCACAGGCTCCCTAATCCAAGGGGTCAGTGGTGTTCACAGAAGCAGCAGGTGAGATAGGGAGAGGCCACCTGACACCAGGTCACACGACTGAGATGGCAGGGACAAGATCTGGACAGGAAGGCCCAGATTCCCACCAAGAAAAGGACAGCACGAAGCCAGGCTCTAGGTCAGACAACAAGCAAAAGCAGGAGAAAGCTAAGGAATGACACCGTCTTCATATTCTGCCCCTTGGAATGAAGCAAGCGCAATGTAGGCAGAAGCTGCATCTAAAGGACACGGAGGAGCACACATGCAGTTTTACAGAGGCCATGGGAAGATGAGGTCCAGGCAGCAATGCTGGGCAAGCCCCTGTGAGGACAGAGAGCTTGAAAGTGAGTGCTGACTCCAGGACAGCCTTTCTGCCTCCTCTGGGACACTAGGGCAGGGCACTTTGCTCTCAGATGATGCAACCCACCTAAGGACAGGTTCTGCTCTCTGCTTGTGTAACCTCGCCAGGAACAGACTGTGGAAGAGGTGGCAGAGGGTGACTGGATGAGGAGTCATTTAAAGTGACAGCCTCTTCCAGGCCCACGGGTCTCAGTGGGACCTGCCCACTCACAAGCCTCACCCACTGGGGCCACACAGTTTGTTAGTGCCAGAAGGCTTTTTTCACCACTCACCTCTCAGCTGATCTCTGGCCTCCTACCTGCCTCATCTACTTGAAATCCAGCAGGGAGACCTAGCTACAACTATCTTTGATTACACCATAATCATGTTTTTAAAGACTGCAGTGTACTGTTTACTTAACAAACACAGTAAGGAGGAAAATATCAGAGAGAGATAAAGACGAGACTGATAACCTCCACTTTACCTATTCAGAAAGTACAATAGCTTCTTAAAATGCAAGCCAAGTATGGTGCTGGACACCTCTAATCCCAGAACTCAGGAGGCTGAGGCAGGAGGATCACAAGTTTGAAGCCAGCCTAGGCAACCCTGTCTCAAAATCAAAATGAGAAAAACTACCAATGTAGACAACTATCTTGGGCCACAGTTCAAAATCCAAGCCCCTCTACCTGCAGGTCGGGCCTCCTTGCTCCCCTTTCTCCAGAAACCCTGTTAGATTCCAGAGGCCCTAGGTTTCTGTGGGTTTCTTGTACCCCGTGCTGTTTCCTATGCCCCTGTGTTTGTCTGAACATCTGCTCTGTATGAAGCTGCCACCCTGCACTTCAGCTTCTCCAGCACCTCTTTGGTTGGTACTTTTTGTTTTGTTTTGTTGTTTTTTTGGTACCGGGGATTGAACTCGGGTACTTGTGCTTGCAAGGCAGGCCACCGAACCACTGAGCTAAATCCCTGGCCCTCCAGCACCTCTTTGGGAAGTCCCATCTTGCAGCCTCTATACCACTGGTGTTTGGGGTTGGGTCATCTTCTGTTTGGGGGCTAACATAACCGAGATAGCGCAAAGTGTCCCCAAACAGAGCCCAGTGTCCCCACCATGCAGCCCCCACAGTGAGCCTTCAGAGTCCTCACAGCCCTTGAGATGAAGCCTTAGGCACCTTCTGCTGTCCTGGTCCCTGGACACCCCGAGTATCATCTCTGCAACCTGCAGCAAGTGACTTGGCCCCCCACAAATGAGTGTCTCCTCATGTCCAGAATAGGTGTGTTCATGGGGAGGTGGGACTATAAATGAGATGATCTGTATCAAGGACATGGTAAGCAGCCATCAAGTATTAGCTGGTACAGTCAGGGTGTGTGTGTGTATTTTACTGGAGACTGAACCTGGGCCCTTCCCACTGAGGTACATCTCCAGCATCATTCTTATTTTTTATTTTGAGACACAGTGTCATTAAATTACTAAACTGCCCAGGCTGGGTTCAAAACTTGTGATCCTCCTGCATCAGCCTCCCAGAGTGCTGTGATTAAAGGCACGTGCCATCACACATGGTTTGGATCTTTATCATTTGGATGTCATTTGTTTGTCTCTTTTGACTCCGCCCTTGGGGACAGAAGGGGTCTTATTCACCCTCATGTCCCTAGCACCTGGTGAAGCATGCCAGGCATGGAGTAGAAGTTTCATGGCATTGACAGCATTGCTCTGGCTGCAGGACCAGGTCACAGCCCTGGCCCTGGTATGCCCACTCTGAGCCTTAGCCCAGTCTCGGCCCCCAAAGCTCCTGTCACCCTGAGACTTCCTCCGAGTCTTCTCTCCTGGCTGGGTGTCCACTGTCACGCTCACAAACATCTCCTGAAGTCCCTACCATGTTTCTCCCAGGCCCTCCCTCAAGGGGCCGCTCCTCATACCCACTGCGTCAGTGCAGACAGCTGTGACCAGGCAAGGGCAATTTCTGTCGTCCCATCCCTCTCTGCCTGGGTGGGGGGGGAGCGGTCTGTAAGCCCAACGGGGCCAGCCACAGAAGCGGGGGGGGGGGGGAGGCCCACCCCCCAGGAATAAGAATCACAATGAGAACCCCTCCCTGTGGTACTCAGGCTTTTCCTGAAGGAAGTCACATGGCAGTTGATGGGAGGGAGACTGCTTAAAAATGCATTTTGGAAATCTACACACATGATGAAATGGCACAGAACACACGTGTGCATGCGTGTGCACACACACACACTGCCAGTGACAGTTCCCTGGGTTTCCACATTGCATGACACATATACAAACATAACTTACTGGGGGAAACCAGGTGGAAGACGCACCACACATCTTCCATTTTTGGAAGTTCTGTGAGTCTATAATTAATCAAAAAATTAGTTTTCACACAAGAGTATATTTTGTACTGAAGATCTGTGTTCACTCTCAAATGAATTTTAAAAATTGAAAATAGTTCAATGGAGCATACGCTTAGTGTGCGTGAGGACCCTGTGTTCAACCACCAACACAAGAAGGAAAAGAGAGAGAAAAGGGAGGAGAGGGAGGAAAAAAGGAAGTGAGAAAAGAAAAGGAATGGACGTCACAGTTGGTTTTTCTCAAACCAAAGTTCTCAGGGTTTGGGGGGGTCAAGCCCAGAGAAGGTCAAAGAAAGGCCCAAAAGGTAATGAATGCACTAAATGCAGGACAGAAGAGAACAAGCAAAGATCAAGACTGGGCTGGGGGTTCTCAGTGGTTTCCACCCCGACAAGAGGCCTGAAGGACGGTGGCAGGCTTTGCCCTGCGTGCCAGCCCTCCCAGCAGGGCGCCAGCACTGTGCAGGGCTCCTGTGGACCAGCTGTGATTCCGCCCCTGCAGCTTCATAACTGGCACGGCCTGTATTCTCCCACTCGGGAGCATCTCGATGGCCATTGCATGCAGGACAGTCCCCACAGTCCTCTGCTTCCGGGGTGAATTCTCCCCAGGCTCAAGACTGAAACCACCATGGCGGCCTGGGCCCCCACCTTGGTGGCCATCTGCGTGTGGTACTCTTTACTGGCAGTCCCCAAGGAAATGGCTGCTGGTGGCAGTGACATAACCGGGACCAGTAGGGCCATGTGCTCTGCGGGGGAAGACCAGAAGCAGAGAGAAGTTCGCTGCTAGGAGGGATGGAACATTCTCTTCTAGGCCAGAAGTGGGTCCTCGGAGAAGCCTGGTATGGGGAGGGACACATGATTTGGATGCGAACCAGAGAGGAACCTGCTGCCACCCTCTCTGCTCCTCCCCTCACACACACCGGGTCAGAGAGGTCCTGGTCCACCCCAGCTCAGAGCTGATAAACCCTGAGAAATCCAGCAAACAATGCATGCCTAAGCAAGCCAATGCTACTCCGCGGAGGCTACAGAATTCACAGGATCCCAGAAGGAACCCTGGGCCTAGAACCACATGCTCTTTTAGGGACGGTGTCTCCTGAAGGTCAAGGGGAAGGACACAGGCCCCACCAAGAGAAGGCAGAAAGGGAGTAGACGCCAGCCTTTAGAAGCGAGAGCCAAAGATCAGGGAAGGTCCAGGGCATCCTCAGAGGTCCCAGGCCACTCCACCCAGCCCCCAACACATACCCAGTTCCTCCGGCAACCTCTCAGTTAATAAAAACAAGGCAAGGCTGGGATTTAGCTCAGTGGTTCCGCCGCCTGCCTCGCAAGTGAAAGGTCCTGAGTTCAATCCCTGGTACCAATAAAAACAAGGCAATAAGAGGCAAAACAAACACCGCCTCAAAAAGCTCAACCTGTCCTTGCAGCTGATCGTGCTTTCCCTGCAGGGAGAAAAAGCAAAGCTAACACTCACGGAGCATCAAGGTCAGGACCAGGCCCTGTGTTAAGATCTGTACCATCTCGCTCTGGGCACACTGGGTTCATGAGGGGGGCACTGTCATTGCTCTGGTTGATTCCACAGGGGGCTAACTCCGAATGTTGAGTTAAGTACATGCCCAAGGTCAGGGCAGCCAATGGGAATCAAGGGTAAGGGTCCAAAGGCCATGCCCCTGACACCCCCACCCCGCCTGGCCCATAACACCAGCAACCACCTGGAGGACTGCAGTGGCCCCACAAATGCCAGCTGGGCAAGGGGACTGACCATCCCCTCCCACACACAGGCAGTGGACCTTCCACAGAGGCCAGAAAATAGAGAGGCCCCTCCCCACCCACATTACCGGAGAACCCGAGTGACAAATGACTTGTGCCCTGTCCCGCAGCTCACTGCAGCACCAGCCAGTGTCACCGCACGAGGTGGGGACCGAGCTTTTCCCCCTCTGCTTGAGGGGCACCGGCCTCCAGGTGGTCCTCCGTCGCACAGCTTTTCCCTGGACCTTGCCCGCGGTCCCCAAGTCCAACTGCAGGGTCATAGCCAACAAAAACAGATGGAAGAGCTGCCAAGAGCTCAGGGCTACACAGGGGCTGAACAGATAAAGAAGCAAAGGTGAGGCCACTGGTCTGGGGCTCCTGGGGACAAGACCATGTCCTACAAGCTGAATGCAGACAACTATTTGATCCCACAGGTCGCCATGTGCCGGGGTTCTGGGGAAGGCTTCTCAGCCTCCCTCAGCACACATAACAGCTCCTGTGTCCCCCAGCATTCAGGATCAAGTTTTCTTGTGTGGGCATTACAGAACTTGATAAAAAAAAAAAAAATGAGGTGGCCAAGGACCTCTTTGCCACTAGCCTGGGGCTCCAGATGACTTGGCCACACACCCTCATTTAAGAACCACATGACCATCCGTGTACAATCAATCCCTGAAATCACTTAGACCTCAGTCCAGCTGCCTCTGGGCTCCTGGCACTCAATACAGCTTTGAAAATCCAAACAGCTAATCTGCCCCTTGGGTCCCAGCATTGTGACAGTGACTATGCAGACAGCATGACCTGAATGGCCCCTGCCTCTCTTGGCAGGTCACAAAATCAGTGGGGTCTGGCGCACGCCTCCCAGTCTTTCTGGGGCCACAACCAGAGGTCACTGGAAAAGAACCCTGAAGATCAGGGGCCTATGGGTTCTTCTTATCCTCTGCCCCTCAGCAATGTGTGCTGGTAGGAAGAGAATGGGTAAGGCAAAAAATGGGATAGAAAATGCTAGGTGAAAAATATTTCTGCCATTCCACTGATGTGTTATAAGGTGTACACACATATAGCTATAAGACATTTTATAAAGTTACATGGCTCTATGAAAAGTTAAAAATTGAATTTTTATGACAAGTTAGTATTTGAGTTAATCAGCCATGGTCTCTGCCAGAAAAAGGACTGTTTCTATTACAGCCTTACCATGTATTCCTAAGGGGCCTGGGTGGCCAAGCAAGGCACACCCTGGAAAGGTAGAGAATGAGTTTGACAGAGAATCTGCAGAGGCCTGCAGACCAATCAGAAGAGAAGGGCAGCCTGGCAAGGAACCTCTGCCTTCCTGGCTGGCCCGCAGGTGGAAAGGCAGAGCAGGGGAGAGTAGAGAAAGGAGAGCAAGGGTCAGGAGACAGGAGCACCCTTCCTGGAGACCTGGAGGAGCAGAGTCTTCACAGGACGGCTCAGCTACTGCCAGGCATCACAGGACTGGATCTGAGCTGGGACCTGGGCTCCTCCCTGCTGGGTGTTTGTGAATCACATTTTTTTTTTTTTTTTTTTTTTTTTTTTTAAGATCGAACTCGGGACCTTGCGCTTGCAAGGCAGGCAGTGTGTGGATCACATTTTAAACCCTGGTTGCCAACAACTGGGACCTCATTGTATTAAAAAGTCTTTGCAGTGCAAGAGAAACCAACAGAGCTAAGAGACAACTACAATGTGGGAAAAAAAAAATTTACCAGCTACTCCTCAGACAAAAGACTACTATCTAGAATATATAAAGAACTCAAAAAGATCAGACCCCCCCAAAGACAAAGACCTAATTAAAAAATGGGCATCTGAAATGAACAGACATTTCTCAGACAAACAAGTAAAAGCAGCAAATAAATATATGAAAAAATGTTCCACATCACTGGTCATTCAAGAAATGCAGATGAAAACAACACTGAGATTCCACCTCACCCCAGGAAGAAATCAAACAATGCTGGCAGGGCTGTGGGGAGAAAGGAACCCTTCTCCATTGCTGGTGGGAGTGCAATCAATGTGGAGGTACCTCACAGAACTAGAATTAGAGGTCCCATTTGACCCATCTATCCCTCTGCTGGATATCTTTCCAAAAGAATTAAAAGAATCATACCACAGTGATATATGTGCACCCATGTTTATAGTGGCACAGTTTGTAATAGCTACAACTTGGAAACAAGCCAAATGCCCATCAACTGGCAACTAGATAAAGAAGATGTAGTTTTTCTATAAAATGGAGTACTACTCAGCCATAAAGAATGAGAAACTAGAGACATTTATAGCTAAAAGGATGCACACTGAGCCTATACTCTTAAGTGAAATAAATAGGACACACGAGTAAATACTGAATACTTTCTCTGGTGTAAAAAATAAAAGTGTAAGTAAGGTTCAAGTGGTATAATCGATAGTGTGGAATAGGAAGAAAATGGCTAAAGGGGAAGTGGGAAGGGGAGGGGAAAGGAAATAAGGGGAAAATGTGAAAAAAGGAAAAAATTGAAACAAAGTCTTTGTAAATAGGGAAGGGTGAAGGGCAGGGGATTTAGCTGCCACCTGCCTCACAGGCACAAGGACCCAAGTTCTATCCCCGTTACCCCAAAAAAAGGAAGGGTGAAGGGAGTGAAGGGAGAGCAGGCGTATGGGGAAACAATAAGAACCAAGACGTATCATGTAAAGGTACAAGATCCCAATGATAAATGTAATTGTATTGTTTGCTTTAAATGTACCAATAAACTTAATGGGGGGGAGCCCTGATTGCCAAACCTCAAACCATGGGCCAAGGCAGTCAAAGAGCAGGGCCTGCCACACAAGTATCTTAACAGAAGGAAGAAACTCTAGTCACACTTGGCCTGGTGCTGCAGAGAGGTGAGTGGACCAGGAGAAAACAAAGTGCCCAGGCCAAGTCCACAGCCCTAGGTACCCACTGGAGCAAACTTGCATACCTGCAAAGAATAATGAGCTCGCCCACGTGGTACCAGCGGACCTCCCCCCACAACACACACAAGCACACACTCACCTCCACGAAGAAAAGCATCAAGATCTTGTTCCAATATTTGGACTCGGTGAGGGCGCTGTGAGTGGCCAGGTGACTGCCCTTGACAGTGAGTGTGTAGTGGCACACACCCAAGATGATGATGCCAATGGTGAAGACCAAGACATTCTCAGAGCGCAGGCACAGGAACCCTGGGGGAGGACGGGACCGGGGAACAGAGTCTGTCCCCCCCCGCCCCCCCCCGCTCTGGGAGATCTGGACCCAAACCGCCCTGCTCCAAAATCCCCAGGCCAAAGCAAGGAGGCTGAAGGCAGGAGTGGCACAGGTCCCTCTACACCTGAGGTGGACGGGGTGGTTCTGTCTATAGGATTTGGGACAAAGCACAGCCCGAAGGGCATCCCGGTGAGACTCTAGTGGCCCTGGTCTGTCTCCCCCTTGAGCCCCAAAGCTGTGCAGAGATGGGGCTGGTATCACGGGGACTCCAGACCCTCAGAGCCTCCTCACTTGCCTCAGCCACCCTTGGTGTCCCCCACGGAACATCCCCCCTTCCCAGGTCACCTCATCCCTCCCCAGCCCTCCGGGACTCAACTTTCCCCTCTACCACCTTCACACCATCAGGCTCCCACCTCCAGCGCCCTGCTCCTCTGGGGACATGGGCTGGATGCCCCAAAGCAGACTTCAGGTTTGAGATGTGTCCCTCGGTTCTGGGGTCCCGGGCACGGGAAGCCCCCCCCGCCCTCGCTCTTCCCGCCGGAGCACAGTCCGCATG